ATCTTGGAATGCCATTAGGGGCCAACCCATCAAGGAGAGCAACATGGAAGCCTATGGTGGAGAAATTTAAAAAGAAACTAACATGTTGGAAGAGGAGGTTGTTGTCGTTTGTTGGCAGATTAACACTAATCAAATCTGTCCTATCTTCATTACTTGTATGTTATATGTCTCTGTTTAGGTTGCCTAGAAGTGTGGCAAAAGAGATTGATAAGATCCTAGCAATATTCCTGTGGAAAGATTTTGCTGTGAAGAGGAAAGTTCACTTAGTGAAATGGAAGGATTTAACGAAGGATAAAAAGCATGGTGGGCTGGGAATAAGAAATTTATGAGTAGTGAACAATAGCCTACTTGCTAAGTGGTGGTGGAGATTTGGGAAGGAAGATAACTCATTGTGGAAACAACTCATCTGCAGTAAGTACCAATCAAAGGAAGGTAGATGGTTTCCCTTTCATGAGGAGGTAAACAATATTTCAAGATTGTTGAGTGATATTATACTTGTTAATCATTCTAATAGCAACTTGGTCAACTTTTATTTGGGCAATGTTGAAATTAGGATTGGCAATGGTGAAAGAATCAGCTTCTGGGTAGATAATTGGATGTGAACCAATTATTTGAAGTTCCAATTTCCTAGACTTTACTAATTATCAGTGGAAAGAAACACGACTTTGAATCTGCATGTAACTACAGCCAGAAACCAAAGCAGCTGGGAATTCAACTTCAAAAGACCCTTATTGGCATGGGAGGAAGAAGAACTGTAGCGACTACATGATGTTCTAGGTAAGGACCCTGCATTGAGATTGGAGTCGAATGATAGTATTTGGTGGAAAGTTGATTTTTCAGGTATTTTCAATGGTAAATGTGTTGTTAATTGGTGTGAATCATTGAATGGTTCTACTCTGAAACCTCTTGACTTGATTTAGAACAATCCTTCCCCATCTAAAGCCCAATTTTTCTCTTGGTTGGCTTGGAAATGGAAGATTAAGGCCTCAGATTATTTACATAGAATTGGCGTTCTTAGTGATGATATCAGATCTGAGTGTGTTATGTCACTCTGAGATTGAATCACTTAATCATGTTTTGTTGATTTGCCCCTTTGCTTGGAAAGTTTGGTCCAACATAATCAAGTGGTGGGGTTTGCAATAGGACTCTTCTAGCTCAATGGACATGCTTATGCATTGGTGGATGAGTTGGAATTTTAGAAAAGGAGAAATCAACTTTGGAGATCAATTATTATTGCTGGTTTATGGTCCCTTTGGAAATGTAGGAATGACTATTTTTTCAATGAGCTGCAACCCAACTGTGAAGATCTTTGTGAGCTAATTAAAGTAAGAGTAGCCCTTTGGATGAAAACAGACTCAGTGGGGCAAGGCTATGTTGTGGATGATTTTGTCTACAACATTCAATAAGTCAGAAGCTGCATAGTGTGACTGTTGCAGTGTTCTGTGTTGGTTCCTCACCAACTCTTTTGTCTTGAGTTAGCACATGATTGTGAGGTCTAATTGGTGCCAACCTAGTTGGGATGAAGAAGTTTCACTTCGATACTTTTTGCTCTTGCCTCTTTTATTGATGTTTTTCTTATGTGTATCATTTTGATTTCATCAATAAAAGTCTTTCTTTTGCTGATAAAAAAAAGGTCCACCTCTAAAATTCTCTTGACACTAACATGACATGACTATGTTCGCCAATACTAGGGGCTATTGTGCCTTTGCACAACAGTCATTGCTATGAATATAATGGAGCCCACGTTGAATCCTACCTCGATGATATGAACCATTCATTTTTATTAGTCATGGTCTCCAAGCTTCTTCAAGGAGTCAATTGCTAGTCATGACCCTCCAAGCTTCTTCAATCTCCACGCAAGTTTTAAGTGCTAGTTGAAGGACTCTTGGATCTTTTTGGGTCTCTAAGTGAATTTTTTAAATGGCGCATTCTACATATATTCACATAAAACAAAAAATATATTGTGTTTTAATAGGAATAATTTAAACTAATTATACTTTTATTAAAGTGTAATTGAGAATTGTGTTTCATGCGATGCAACTGTAATTGAGAGTTGTGTCTCATGCAATAACTTTCACTTACACCATGTATAGACCACTTCACCTCTATAAAATATATATATATATATATATATAATTATTTTGAATTGTTTATACTAATTTACAATTTTTACAAATTTGTTTTTTTTTAAATAAAAAAAACAAACAAATAAATTTGTGGGTGAAATAAGAACTTGGATTTTTTTTTTTCTAGTACGTACTCAAAATTTGCTTCCATATACAATTACTAAAGTTTTGTACGGAAATTTATTTAGATTAAATTAAAATCTTAAGAAATTATTACAAGAATTAAAAAAGAAAAAAAAATGGTATTCAGTGTGTTTGGTTTGAGTTTTTTGAATTAAGTTTTTTGAAAATTAAGTTTTTTGGTTTTTGTGTTTTTTTGTTTTTAGTGAATATTTTTAAAATTTTAAACATTTTTTTTTTTACTTTTTAGATGCACCTTACTTAGATGTATCTAAAAAGTAAAAAAATTTGTGAAAAAATATTTTAAAAAATTAATAAATACATAAAAATACAAAAAATGTACTGAATTCTTGTATTTTTTTTTGTGTTTTGGGTATTTAGTGAATTTTTAAAAGTTTTTCTTCACAATTTTTTTACTTTTTAGATACATCTAAGTTAGGTATGCCTGAAAATTAAAAAAATTGCTTAAAATATTAAAAAAAAATCAGTAAAAACAAAAAAACACGGAAAATAAGAAAGTAGAATTTTCTGAAAAATATTTTTTGAAAAGTGAAACCAAGCATAGTGATTGTTACTGTAAAAGATGATTTCCCAAGACTATACTCTGTGTCCCTAGATAAATCTGAATATGTGGAAGTGGTAAATAGCATGAAGAATGGTAATGAAGAGTAGAGGTTGGTTTTTAGGAGAGCCTTGTTTCAGTGGGAAGTGGAAGAGTTAAGGAGACTGAAGGTGATGCTACTCAATGCACCTGCCCTTAGGAAAAGTATGATGGATTGATTAAGATGGAATGCAGATAAATCTGGTGCTTTCTTTGTTGCTTCTGCCTATAAGTAGAGTGAGTTATCTTCTGAAGTTACTAGCAAATTAGCTTGTTTCATTTGAAAGAATGTGGTTCCACCAAAGGTGCAGTTTTTTGGGTGGCTAGCATGGAAAGAGAGGATCAAGACATCCTACTGTCTTTAAAGAATTGGTGTCCTTAGTGGTGTCTCAAATGTTAATTGTATTTTCTTCAATAATGAAGTGGAGAATGCAAACCATGTGTTGCTATTTTGCCCTTTTATCTAGAGGATTTGGTCTAATATTATCAATTAGTGGGGTGTAAAATGGGCAATGCCTGGGTCTGTGAGTAGTATTTTACAGTGGTGGGCTGGTACTAAGCTAAAAAAAATAAAAAATGAGAGGGTGATCTTGAAGGCTATCCCACTAGTTGTGCTCTAGTCCGTTTGGAGGTAGAGAAATGACAATATCTTTAATGGCTCATATGTGGACTTTGAAAGCTTGTGTGATTCTATCAAGCTTAGGATTGCAATGTGGATCAGAACCTCTTACCCTTTTTTCAATTACTTAGTGAATGACATTGTATATAATCTGCAGCAAGTTAAACTCTGCATTAAGGGTAGATTTTGGCTACTGATGGGGTTGATTGTGGTTGTGGTCTATTGGTGGCTTGGGGTTTGGTCGCTTTGTGATTTTTTCTTCTTTTTTGCTTGTGTTGGTTCCTCACCAACCCTTTATGGTTGTGCTTGCAGATGATTGGGCTCTTTTCTCGGTGCCAACCTAGTTGGGATTAGGGTAGTTTGCTATGATGCTTTGTGCACGTCCACTTCTTTATTGATGTAATGTCATATGAAATGTATACTTTTGTCATCAATAAAGTTTCCTTTTTTTGCTGATAAAAAAAAGTGTTGTGGTTGTGGTGGTGGATGGTGGTGGTGGGTATTTGAGGGCTAGGCAGGCAAGTCCACCTCTTTACTCCATTGACAATCACATACCATAGAACCTATTTGCCAGTATACCCACTAAAATCAATTACTAAAGAATTGTTTTAAAAGATTAGCTTAGTGGTTTGTAACAACACATTTGCCGCACAAGGATAACTTATGGAGAGGATTTACATGAACTCTCTGTTGGTTGTATTGGTGCTGGTAGTGTAATCTTTCATTGTTTGCCTGACCTTTCCTTTCTCAAACTCAACCAATCAATCGGCTTTGCTTGTTTTCAAGACTTTTGTCAAGTATGACCCAAACAATGTATTGGGTAATTGGACCACAAGAACCAATTTCTGCAACTGGGCTAGAGTCTCGTGCAATATACGCAGACAAAGAGTCACGGCTTTGTAGCTTCAAAACATGAGTCTTGGAGGCACCATTTCTCCTCATATTGGAAACCTCTTTTTCCTCATGAAGCTTGATCTTCGAAACAATAGATTCCATGGCTTTGTGATGCAACACCAACCTTATTTGCGTTGCTTAACAGATCTCATATTACAAGACAAACTGTTAGAAGGAGAGATCTTAACAAGAATACAACAATGTCAAAAGCTTCAAGTCATGTCTATTACTGGCAATAGACTTAGACAAAATATTTTTAAATTCGGTACAAGCTTGAGCAAAAGTTTAGAAACCCAAATTAAATTTGGACGGGCTTGGGCAGAGACATTGAACAACCCGAGCAATCCGAATTCCGAATTATATATAAAAATATTGAATATACATATAAATTATTAGCCATTGGATGATATTAAAATAATTTAGATTGTTAGATCATATTGAAAATATTATATACACAAGTAACACAACATAAAATTTTATTTATTTATTTTTTCTCACTCATAAATTGTAAAGATCATCGTAGCAGTATTTCTTTTACATTATATAAATTATTTGTTTTGATATTTTAATATGATTTTATAAAAAAATTATAAATAGAGTCTAATTTTAACAAATTAATGAACTTAGTTACACTAAAAAAAAGAAAAAAAAAAAGAAATTTATGTTCAATTTGGGTTTAACTAGGTCCGGGTTTGGGCAAACAATCTCGGGTTACAATTTAGGTTTCGTCTAAAGAAAGTCGTGAATCAATACTCTGTATTTTTTATTATTCTAGAATATAAAAAATAGAGTCATACATCTCCTATATATTGTACTTTACATCCTCTCAAGATACAATCCACACATGCTCTATTTTAGTTAGTTATAACCACCTACTAATAGATTTGATGAGCTGGAATTGCAGTTGAAGCATTTACACGTGGAGCTGTAACTAAATCTGAGTTTAGAGTTAAAGCTAGAGCTGAAGCTAAACTAGAAATTATTGCAACAATATGCTCAACATTCCCCCACAAGCTGATGGGCTGATCAAGGACTATGAGCTTGGTTGTAAGATACTGAAATCAAGAAACAGACAATGGCTTTGTAAATAAATTAGCTAACTGATCAATGGTAGGAATGTACTTGAGCTGGAAAATCTTAGCAAGAACTTTATCTCGCACATAGTGACAATCGATTTCTATATGTTTGGATCGAGAGTGGAAGACAGAATTTGAGGCCAAAGCTATAGCATATATGTTGTCACACTAGAGGATGGGTGTAGTAGGTAAAGAAATGCCCATTTCAGTGAGGAGCATAGAAATCCAATTCAGTTCTGCAGCATCATGAGGTAAGGCACTATACTCAGCCTCAGTGGATGATTTAGACACAGTTTCTTACTTTTTAGCAAACCAGGACACCAAATTGGAGCTCAAGAAAACACAATAACCAGATGTAGACTTCTTATCATGAACATCTCCTATCCAGTTGGAATTTGAAAGCCCATGAACATCGAAAGTACTGGGAGTAAAATTCAAGCCATGAGTAAGTGTGCCTTGAACAAATCTGAGAATTCTCTTGACTACAGCAAAATTTTCCATTGTAGGAGAATGCATATATTGACAAGCTTGATTAACAGCTAGAAAGAGATCATGTCAAGTGATAGTCAAGTATTGTAATGCCCCAACAATATTTCTGTAAAGAGCATGATTATGAAATGGGAGGGAAGCATTAGGAGGATTACTAGGCTTGATAGATATAGGAGAGGGGCAAGGCTTACAAGAGGATAGTCCAGCTTTAAGGAGAATATCTTTGGCATATTTTGATGAGATAAGAGATAACCTGAGGCTGTAGGTTGAACATAAATTCCAAGGAAGTAGAAAATGTCCCTCAATTCTTTCATAGAAAAGGCACCATGCAATTGTGTAATGAGAGTATGAATATGATTGTAGTTGTTCCTAGTGATCAAAATATCATCTACATAGATTAACAGATAAGTCACTAAGGTGGATGTTCTTTGAATGAATAAGGAGGTGTCATATTTGCTATTGGTGAATCCTTGAGACAACAAGAAGGCAGAGAATGTAGAATACCAAGCTCTTGTAGCTTGTTTTAAGCCATATAAGGCCTTGTGAAGCTTACATACATGACTAGGAGAAGATGAATCCTGGTGGTTGAAGCATGAACACTTCCTCCTCAAGAATGCTATGGAGAAAAGCATTGGAAATATCCAAGTGTTTGAGAGACCAATTGTGGTGAAGGACACGACAAATTAGAGTTTTGATTGTTGGTTGCTTAGCCACTGGGCTAAATGTTTCATGAAAGTCAATACCCTTTTACTGCAGGTACCCTTTGGCCACTAACCGAGCTTTATACCTAGCAATTGTGCCATCTGAGTTCTTTTTAACTTTGAAAATCCATTTACATCCTATGGAATTTTTGGCACATGGAAGAGGAACTAGGGACCAAGTTTGTTGCTTTTGAAGAGCAGAAAATTCTTCGAGCATAGCTCTATGCCAGATAGGAGAGAGCAAAACTTTTTTGTAAAAAGGTGGTTCTGAGTCAGAGTAGAGTGAAGCACAGAAGAAGGAACAAGTAGTAACCAAATAGTGAGGGGTAGATACAGACTTAGACTTGGTAACCATGAGATGCTTATTAGAAGGCACAGGTGGAGGAGGTGAAAAAGGTAAATCAACACCAATGGATGTAATAGATGTAATAGGAACTGTAAGACCTTGTGGAGAAGACACTAATGAAGGAGAAGGGAAAGCTAATGGAAGAGAAGAAGAAGAATAAGAAGAAACAGCAGGAGAATCTGAATTGTGGGAAAAGGAATGAACTGAAGCTGAAGGCTCAGAAGAAAAGACAGAGGGCTGAGAGGGTGAAAACCAGAAAAATGACTGTATGGCAGCAAGAGAAGATGGTGATGTATACTGTGAAGAAGATGAAGAGGAAGCAAAAGGAAAAATATGTTCATTAAAGATTACATGTCTAGACAAGTAGATTCTACCAGTGAGAGGATCAAGACATCGATATCCTTTAGCAAAAAGATGGTAGCCAATGAAAACACCTGACATAGATTTTGGTTGTAATTTGTGTGGATGGTAAGGCTTAAGCCAAGGAAAGCATTGACAACCAAAAATTCAAAAATAGGAATAATCTAGAATGGATTGAAAAAGCATTTCAAATGGTGACTTATGACCAAGTTTAGAGGATGGCATTTTGTTTATAAGAAAAGTAGCAATGGCTATAGCATCAAACCAATATTTCAATGGCACAGATGAATGATGAAGAAGAGCAGTTGTAATTTCAATAATGTGCCTGTGCTTTCTCTCTACAATGCCATTATGAGAAGGAGTGTAAGGACAAGAGAGTTGATGAACAACATCTTGAGTTCTCAAAAATGTTTGCATTTTGGAGGTAAAAAATTCTGAACCTCCATTAGTTCACAACATTTGCAAATGAGGTAAAACTGTTTCTCAACATAAGCCTTAAACTTAATGAATTTATCATAGACTTCACTTTTATAGGCTAATGGATAAAGCCAAGTGAACTTGCTGTAGTCATTAACAAAAAGCAAATAATATTTGTAATCAGAACTAGAAGTATATGGCCTCCATACATCACTGTGAATAAAAGAAAGAGGTGCATTACAATGGAATTGAACAATTGGAATGGGAGTCTATGATTCTTAGCTATGCAACAATCAATACGAACAGTGTTTATTGTATTGTTAGAAATAGCCAAACAAGGCTTGAGATGATTAAACTTCACCAAAGATGGATGACCTAATCTATTATGCCAAACAAAGGAAGGCACAAATGTAGAATTATGAGATGCACTAAAGTAAGCATGCAAAACAGGTGGAACACCAGCAACATATGAAGAAGTACTATGGAACTGATATAGGCCATTGGTATTAGAACCCTGATGAAGAATTTTCCTTGAATCCTTGTCTTGAATAGCAAATTTAGAGGCATCAAAAGTGACAAGGCAATTATTATCCTTAGTTAATTTGTGAACTGAAAAGATTAGAAGAGATAGAAGGAGAATGCAAAATATTGTTCAATTTAAAAGAAAAATGAGGAGTATGAAGCAAGCCTTTACTAGTGTTGGGAATAGGGACTATAGTACGATTGCCTATGGTGACTTGATCAGATCCTTGATAGGGCTGCGAACAACTAAGATTATGCAGATCATGAGTGATATGACCTATAGCAGCAGAGTCTAAGTACCAAGGAGCACGTGGAGGAGAAGAAGCTGACTGAGTTGAGACAACAAAAGCTCTAGAAGTAGAATTATTCTGCTGATGACTAGAAGATTGAAACTGTGGATCCATTCTAATGCGGAATGACCATGTCCACCACAAATTTGACAAGTCAGAGAAGAAGAAGATCTGCCTCTGCGTCTAGAAAAACCTCGGCCATTATGAGATTTGGAAAAACTGGAAACAGTTTGAGCACCTGAGAAATTGGAATAGTTATTGAAGGAATACGATCCATGAGATCGACCACCTCGACCTCCTCTGGAAGATCGACCTTTGAATCCAGAAGAATGACCTCTGTGATTGGAAATCAAAGAACCGCAAACAGAAGAAAAGGCCACCGTAGGCTTAGTATGGAGAGTTTATGATGTTTAGATTCAACATGTATGACTTCAGAAATGAGAAGAGAAGTCAGTTCATCCATAGAAATATATTCGGATCTAGCTCAAATTGTGGTCTTAAAGGCATCATACTCATCTGGAAAACCATTCAAGGTAAGAAGAACAAGATGTTCGTTATCAATAAAGGGTGAAGCAAGAGCCAGTTGACTCACTAGATCTTTGATCTTAGACAGATAATCCTTCATTGAATCAGTTTTCTTCGTAATATTGTTTAACTTGTTCTTGAACTGATGAACATGAGATCGAGAGAGAGAGGTGAATCGTTTATGTAGTGCAGTCCATGCTTCAGAACAATTATCAAGATGAAGAACAGATGAATAGATTGTAGGTGAGAGAGTTGCAGTAATGCAACTGAGCATCAACAATCTTTTACTACAGATATGCAGGATTATCAATCTATGAACTAGAAGTATCTGTAATTTTCATTTGTGGACATGAAGCCAAGAAGACTAGTTGCAGTCAAAATATTCTGCATTTGATTTTTCCAGATCAAAAAATTTGAGGCATCAAGTTTAACTGTGATAAACGAGGAAAGATTAGAAATCAACAAAGAGAGATTCGAAGGAAGAGAAGTAGAAACCATGAAAGAAGAGAAAGAACTTAGAGTTGAAGAAGCCAAGAGCTCTGATACCATGAAAAAAGTCATGAATCAATACTCTATATTTTTTATTATTCAAGAATATACAAAATAGAGTCATACATCTCCTCTATATTGTACTTTACATCCTCTCAAGATACAATCCACACTTGCTTTGTTTTAGTTCGTTATAACCACCTCCTAACAGATTTGATGAGATGAAATTGCAGTTGAAGCAGTTACATGTGGATCTGCAACTGAATCTGAGTTTAGAGCTAAAGCTGAACTAGAAGCTATTGCATCAATATGTTTAACACGGGCTTGGGCAGCTCTCAATACAACTTGGGTTAGGCTTGAACAATCTCTCAACCTATCTGAATCCGCCTGAGTTACACCCCTACTTTGTGGTGATCTATTGTGGGTAGGGATGTAAGAAAAATCGAAAAAACCGACCAAACTAGTTGAATTGAACCAAACCGGTTACATTTGGTTGGTTTTTTAATATAAATTGATTTGTGCGGTTTTTAATATTAATTTTTTTCAATCTTTGGTTCGATACCGGTTTAGGCACATTGTGCACCGAATTAAACCGAAACCGACTGAAAGTTTTGCATATTAAACATAATATATATTAAATATATAATGAAGTTAGTTGAGTACAAAATTCAGTTGATTCACTTAATTGTTTATTTATTTTTTAAATATTTCAAGTTTGACAATAGATATTGGCAATGTGATAGGTTGTTAGTTTGCCACTCATATGTGCTTGAGTCAAGTTTTACTATTATGCCTATATAGCTATATCAGATGTTTATGTTGTTTTTAATTTTTTGTTTTAACTCTACTTAATAGACTTGTGATTTAGTCTTATGGGATGATTGTTTTAAACTTTGATTTTGCTTTGGTGTTAAGACTTTAGTTTTTAGATTATATGTTATTTTTAATTCTATTTCAGTAAAAGTTTAAACATTCTGTATTTATCAATTCTTTTGTTTGTATTTTTATGTATTTTTGTGTGGATTTGATCCAAAAACTGCATTTCTTATCACACTGAACCCAACCAGCAAAATCGAGTTAAAAGGACACTACAGACCAAGCCAAGTAAAACACCAGCAAATCCATACCAGCAACCATCCGCAGATTGACACTTTCACTGCTTCACCCCTGCAATAAGCAAATCTCAGATACACCTCTTCACCTGCTGAAAGCTCCGCACAATTTCATTAACTGTCTAGTCATAACCAATATGATGAGCTTTTATCAAAAGCGCAATCCTAACTTTGATTATCTACCTCAATCATTGGTTGGGTACCAAAAAAGATGCAATCAGTCCTAAATAACCACACAAACCAAATCACAACAACTGATAGCGCTCTCCAAACATGCCTCACCTTCCTTTTGAACTTCCAACCCATCCACCATTGTAACAAACCATCGACAGACCCTGGCATTACCCAACACAGCCCCCACCAATCAATTATACTTGACCATACCTGCCACACAAAGGAGCACCATAGTAGAATATGGTTCAAAGATTCTGGCTCTGCTTTACCCAAAACACATGATAAATCGGCATAATCTAACTTATCATTGTTAATCCATTCAATTTTCCTGGTAACTTTAATTGATCAAAGGTATGATTTAATCAATTGAAATTTGAAAAGCTTTTTTTTAGAAACAATTATAATTTGTATAATTAATTGTATTCTATACAAAAAATCATGTATTTGGGAAATAATCATCCGTTAATTTGAAATAATTCACCATACAATCCCCCATTTTTTCTTTTTCTTTTTTTTTTCTTTTTCTTTTTCTATTTTTATTTATTTATTTTGAGATAAAACAATCATTCAATAGTTTTAAGTAGTTCACTACATCAAACTATTTTTTAGTTTGAATCTCACCCAACTTTGTCCAGGCCCTTTTAAATTTAGATGCTGGTTTTTTTGTTTGTTTGTTATTTGTGTGTGTGGACTAATATAATAGCTAAAATGTTTTTTGAGGCCTTTCTTTTTAATCAATTTTTGAGGGCCCAAAGCAGCGATTTTGCTGACTTCGGTCCTATGATATACATTGGGAGCTTACAAAATGAACGATTTGAATTATTGACACAAGACTCATAGTGAACTTTACGGGGCCTTCTTAAATTTATATTTGAACTTGAAAGAAATCCAACTCTATATATAATATTAGTAATGAAGCTCAATGAAACCGTACTCTTGAATAAATTTTATTTTTTATTTATTGAATTATTTGTTTTTTATAGAATCAAATAATTGAAACATTAACATCAAGCAAACAAACAAGGAAACATAATAAAACCACACAAGGCTACTACAAATACACTAATAGTCTAAGTTCACGTTGCCATGACTTGATTTTTGTTGCCCCCTTAGAATTTGGACAGAATTTGATCGATTACGCTTTTGTCGGTTTGGAATGCCTTGGTGAGAACTTCACTAGAAATCTGCGGATTCGATCCAAAAACTGCATTTGCTACGGTCATGATTCCTGGGTTTTGGCTGCTCAATGCAGAAATTCCTAGTGCTTTTTCATTCCCCAAATTCAGCTGGAAGTGAATAAGTCCCTTTGGGAAGACGAAAACATCACCCTTTTGAAGAACCTTGCTGATAAGGCGATTCTCAGGATTTGTAGTAACGAAACCAACAAGGAGAGAGCCTTCTATAAGGGTGAAGATCTCAGAAGCTCTAGGGTGGTAGTGGGGAGGATTGACGCCCCCTGGAAGATAGTCGACCCGTGCCATTGCAATGCCAAATGTGTTGAGTCCTGGTAGTTGAGCTGCTGTTACTGGGGAGACTTTAGACCTTACAGGGTTTGACGTGTTCCCTGGAATGTTGAAACCTCTAAAGAGGAAATCATTGGCTTGAACCATCATGGGATTCTTGCAGGAAAAGCCATTCACTGTCACTGCCAACAAATAGAACAATTAGAAGCAAAATATATAGTTCATTGTCATGTAAATTGTACTGATTGTGTAATTAACTATTATTCCATGATTGTTTTTGGAATGGAAAATATTGTAGAAATCCACAAAATTTATAAAATTTCTCACTCATAGACGTGACATGTAGTAATAAAATTTTGTAATCTAAAATATTACCGAATTATAAATAAAATGATAGACGTAACTTCAAAGAATATATAAAATTTATTAATTTATATAACATTACTCTTTTAGAATTTATACATGGTATTAGAGATGTAACGAGCTTTTGCTGCCAACAAACATTTGGAAAAAATTTTGTTAGTTAAAAAAAATAAAAATAAATAGCAATACAAACCTTTTATTTTATTTTATTTTTTGAAATATAATTTTTATTAATCTAAATTGAGCTGAAAAACAAGAAGTTAGTTGAAAACTTGAAAAACTGTACCAAAAAAAACAAAGAAAAAACACCAAATATTTTCGAATTACAACTGCCCACAATAAACATTTTCAAAACTTAAAAGCTACAAAGCTGCCCATAATTTTTTGCCAAACGTGGCCTAAATGCAATACCTGGGCTGTTAAGGTCTGCAACACAGAAATCCTGAAGGGGTGCAGGCTCATATGCAAAGGCAATGCAGCAGAAACTAAGAACAGCCACCAAACTCAACAAAGCCATATGTTTTTCCATTTTCAAAACAAACTTAGCTTATAATAAATATATATTTTGAAGAAATCAAGAACAAGATTAAGATCAAGAAATGAGTCAATTCGAGTGATGAAACAAGTGAATCTCAAGATCCTATATATAGACAAAAAAATGTAAATTCCACTAATTCTATTATTATTACTTTTATTTTTATAATCAGCCGTCTCAAAGAATAAAAGCGTCATGATTGACAACTCAATCTCTAAACAGATCGTTAACGATAAGTATATTAATAATTTCAGATTAAACCATTGTGATTATATGGAAAAAAAGAGGTGAGCCGGCACGCTTATAGTTAGAACAGGATTATAATATCAACCCAGAATTTTTTTGTATTGTGTGTAAGAAATGGTCAAGTGTGATTTCAAGAGGACCATTTCAGACCAAACCTTAGAATTGTTATTATTGTTTTGTCTAAAAATGATTTGTCCCAAGCAGCGTTTACAATTCAATGACTTGTTCTTTAGTCATGATAAGATCCTTTAAATACACTATACACAAAATTTGAAATGCAGTGGAACAAACTTGGATTAATTCCAAGAGTAAAATGTATTAGTAATTCTGGCAGGAGATGATGATAGACTGGATTGTATTGTTGGGCATGTGAGCCAATCATGGTTATAATTTGATTGTATGATTCGGAGTCTGGATCCTCTGTCGTTCCATTCTGTAGTGGTTCCTGTAGTGGTGCCAAAATGACATCATTTTGGCACTTTCTTTTTTTATTTTTAATTTTTTTGTGTTGCTGCTGTATGCATTTAGGGAACACAACCCAGCCAAATGAAGGACCAAAACGGAGGAAGAGAAAAAACGAATGGCCAATGAAGGTCACCGGCAAAAAATGATTTGGGTATTTGATTTGGGTGAGAAGTTAAAAATTTTGGTTTGGGTGAGAAGTTCATAAAATTTTCAATGATTTTTTAGTTTTCTTCTGTTTTTGCTTTCAACCAAGGCATGGGAGGATATCAACAAGACTCCCAACGTAACTGCTCTTTTCATGGATGATCATCTTATTAAGAGAACAAACAAACAAATGAGTATATGCATTTTCATTTTATGTCCAAATGTACATGGATAAAAACTAAAATTAATATCCTAAACTAGAAGAGAAGCTCCAAAAGCGATCATTAATGGTGGATTCAAGCATTAAATCAACAAAAAAGGCCCAATAAAGAAAAATAAATTTTTGATCAAAGCCCACAATCAAGGTTAGGACTACAAATGAACCGAACCGAGCCGAACCGATCTTTGTTGAGCTCGAGCTTGGCTCCTTTACTTATCGAGCTCGTTTATTGAGCTCGAGCTCGGCTCGATAAGAAATTGGGCTCCAGCTCAGCTCGGCTCAACTCGTTAACATTAATGAAACTCGAGCTCGGCTCGACAATTTTTTGAATATTATTTAAATAAAAAATATTATTTTTTAATATTATTTATTTAAAAATATTTAAATAAAAATTATTATTTATATTATTTAATATATAAATAATATATTTATTAGATAATTTAAATAAAGATAAACGAGCTGAGATTGACGAGCCGAGTTTATACGAACTCAAACTCGGCTCGTTTACTAAACGAGCCTAATAGTCGAGCTCAAGCTCGACTTGTTTACTAAACGAACCGAGTCAAGCCGAGCCCTTAATGAGCCGAGCCGAACTTGTTCATGAACAACTCGATTCATTTGCAGCCCTAATCAAAGCCAAGAAGAAATAGTGAGAAGAGGGACTTTGTTCCAAGCTATAGAGAGAGAAATCCAGGTCATATTGAATCAATAAAAGCAGAGAAACCCATTCAGAATTTGTTCATTTTTTAAATTTGTGTAGATGAATGAAAAAAAAATAAAAAAAAGTATTTTGATTTGCAATGCAGTCATTCATCGAATTTATATCTAATAAAATTGATGTCTTTTTTTTAAAAAAAGGTTGGGCTTCCATATTCGGCCTTGTGGGGCCTATCGTAAATCTTATTTTAATAATATGAATCGTTTATTTTATAGGATTTTTTGTGTATACCATCACTATAAATATATATATATATATATCATTTTTACTGCATTTGTCACACAAAAAAAAGAAGAAAAAAAAAGCCGATCCAATAATCGTAACATACTCATTTTATTGCATTTGTTACAAAAAAATAGATTGTCTATTTTAAAAAGAACACTTGTCGTTCATTTTTTTTTTTTTTTTAAAAGACAAACATGATATATTAAACAGACTGCAATTATTGGATCGATTTAATTTTCATTAGGGATGATATATACGAAGGGCCGTATAAAATGAATGGTTTGTATTATCAAAATGAGATTTGTAATAAATCCTATTGGTATGAAAATGTAGGATTGGAGGGAATGTGTTATTTTTCTAAAATTATAATTGTTGTATATTTTTTTCGAAAAATATATATATATAATAAAAATAGGTCATTATAATTAAAGATCTCATAAGTTATAATTAAAATAATGTCGTAACTAAGTTGTCGTTTGGAAAAACTTTTTTTAGTTGGCTTTTTGGAGTTAGAATTTTTTTTAACTTGGCACTAAAAAGTTTGTTTGGTTTGACATTTTGAGTTTTTTGACTTTTGTGAGAAAAAAAGAGAAATGATTATAATTTGGACGTGACATATTCTTTTATTGACTTTTTAGTTTATTTTTTTTTAATAGCTAATTTAGTCCCAACCCACATAACCAAACGAAACCTAAATAAGAAAATTGGTCACAATTAAAGAAAAAAATGACGTAAGTAGAGGTGTATATGATACACCTCTCTCAAAGGTGTGTACATTAGAATTTCCCTAAATCTTATTCTCTCTTTACTTTTTAAATTATTATTATTATTAAATGATTTAACATGAAGGTCATGTTTGATGGGAGGTTTAGGGAGGGGAATTGGAGTATAAGAGAGGTGGGCTCTACTCATATCATGTTTGGTTAGGAAATGTGTGGGGGTATTAATATATTCCTGTTGGAGCAATAATCCTACACTATGGAGGGACTAACAAAGTTTGGAAACACATGGGATTGAGATGCAACTTACGGGATTAATCGGTAAAAGACCATTTTACCCTTTAGCCTATATGACTATAATAATGGAAGAAAGGTAATTATGGATTTTCACAGATTTAATTCCAATCAATTAATACCACCACACCACAACACAAACAAACACATTTATTTAACATTTAATGCCGTCATATTACTAAGCTCCTCATTCAATTTCACTGTACTCATAATTTCATCTAACTTAATTCGCCAAATAAACGTGTCCAAAAGGAGCAAATCGTGGATTCACAAGCCACTGAATTGGTCAATACTAGAGACAACTTGAGAAGTTATTCGTTGGTCTTGGGTATAGCCACGTGGTACCTTAGGTGTGTTCTATGTTGGATGATTGAGGAACATGAAAGACATAAAGATTTTGATTGGCTAGAGGAAGACCAGTTGGTATCCTTGACCAACCAATAATTTTTAGACAACCTCAACCCACAGTATAGAGTTTCTATATACGTATGTCATGTAAATATTTCCACTACAAAATGAATATTTTGTTTCGCAACATTAAATAATAGTCATATACTATTTAATTTCTTAAATAGTAGTAATATACTGTTTAATAATTTCTTTGATAACATAGTAGTCATAGACTGTTTATCATTGAAATTTTGTTACAAAATATTATTCTGTATATTTTGTGTAAATTCTATTTTGTATAAATTTGTGATTGGTGCATTTTTATTTCGTCAGAAATATGATTACTAAAACAAACAGTACTGCGACTGTTCGTACTCCCACCCACACACCCGTTGTGCTAGTGATGACTCCGGTAGTATCGGTAAATCATGGGGATAAGCCAGAATGGAAATGATTTAAAAGATGGCAACAAAAGATGATGTTTTATCTTACGACATTAAATTTGGCTCACTTCACTCATGAAAAAGTTCTGGCACTGAATGGGAGAGAAACTGACCGGAAAATGGTTACCGTAATCGATGCATGGAAGTATGGTGATTTTCTATGTCGGAATTATATTCTCAATGGGTTGGACAATACACTATATAATGTGTATAGTGTCAAAAGTACTGCAAAAGAATTGTAGGAATCTCTAGATCATAAATATAAGACAAAAGATGCCAGTTCAAAGAAATTTGTTGTCGGCCGTTTTTTGGATTTTAAAATGATGGATTCCAAGACGGTTATTAGTCAGGTTCAAGATCTCCAATTAATTCTCCATGACATACATGTGGAAGGGTTGGTTCTCAGTGGATCTTTCTAAGTAGCGACAATCATTGAAAAAATGCCACCATCTAGGAAAGAATTCAAGAATTATTTAAAGCATAAATGCAAGGAGATGAAATTGCAAGAACTGATAGTGCGACTTAGAATTGAGGAGGACAACTATGGTACCGACAAGAAGTCAAGAAACCATATCATACAGGCTAAAGCAAATGTTGTGGAACATAGACAAGGGCCAAGATTCAACAACAAGAAGCGGAAACATGATGGCAGTGGTTTTAAACAAGGATCCACTAGTAAGATCAACAAAGGGATGAACAACGTGTTCAACAACAGGTTCAAAGACAAGTGTTTTGTGTGCAACAAAGATGGACATCGCGCTAAGGATTGTCACCTAAGGATGGAGAGAGTTCAAGAAAAAAGCCAGCACAAGCCAACATAACCGAGGATTTTTATCTTTCTAATAGAGTGGCAGACATCAATCTTGCTGCAATAGTCTCTGAGGTATATTTGGTGGGCAATCCCAAGGAGTGGTGGATAGATACTGGAGCAATCCGCCATATATGTGCAGAAAAGAAGATGTTCACCACCTACAAAGTGGTGGACAGTAGAGAACAACTTTTTATGGAAAACTCCTCCACATCAACTGTGGAAGGATAAGGAAAGATTGTGCTAAAAATGACCTCGGGGAAAGAACTCACTCTTAACAATGTACTCCATGTACCAGAGATTTGCAAGA